CAAAAAAAGGGCCTGATGTATGTTGGGTGGTTTTAAGACATCCACCCCCCCACGAATCCCACCCAAAAGGGCGGAACGATGGGATTCGAAGTTGCAAAACTAAAAAATAAATTTAAAAAATCCGAAGGCCACCTAATGGTCAAAGGCTGGAGGTTGAGTGGGAGATCCTAAGGGGAAACCCTTAGGATCCCAGGATCTCCTGGAAGCAAGACTAGGGTTTCTCCACCGACAGCGTCTTTTCTGTGTTGCTCTTTCCATCCAGAGCGCTTATCCCAGCCCTGCCCTAACCCAACCCCCCTTCCTCCCCCTCTTTCCATGTACACTTAAATTCTTCCACTTGTGGAAGAACAACAGAAGGCGGGATGTTGTTCTTGGCTGTTCCCGTGTGCACGCCTAACTCGTTGTATTTTTTTTTGGGGGGTGGGCAGGCAGGGAAACGAGGAGGTTGCTTTTCACCAGCTGGGATGGAAGGAATCCTGAGGATGATTACACATCTTTCAAGGTAGGAGGGGCTCTGGAGGGGAGGGTGAGGCCAAGTATTTCTGGACCTCCCTTCATGACAACAAAAGTTTCACCCCTTGTTTTTTTAAAAAAAGGTTTCGGAGTGCGAATTTTTTCCGATTAAAACTCCAAAAACTTTACAGTGCTCAGTTTAGAAAAGCCAGTGTTTGGAGAAGTGTATTTTTTTCTGCAGTACAGCAACGGGATATTCCCCTGCTAGCCAGTTGATGGCCTCTAGATGCTGGGACTACAAAACCCAGCATCTCAGGCCACCGGTTGTGTTATCTGGGGGATTTTGGGGAACGGAGTCTGCAAAGTAGGAACGTCATGCATTAGCTGCCCCATGGCGTGGACGGTCCATAGAGCCTTCCTAAACCTGATAGATTACCATTCCCATCACTAGTCGGATGACAACTCCCATCATCCCCCAATGCATGTGGCACGGTTGGTGGGAGTTCTGTCTTAGGCCAGCTCAGAAACATCAAGGAAGACAGGTTGAAGGCGATGCAGCCCTCGCAAGCTGTATTCCCTCCCTCACCCCAATTTTTGCATCCTGGGGTGAGTCGTGTCTGGAATTCGAGATGAAAGGTAGAAAAAGAGGAAAAAAAGCAAAATTTGCAAGGGTTAGTTCAGACCTTCTCCGGGCCTGAAAAAATAAACCCTCCTCTAGTTGCTTTGTAAAAATAATTGTGTCACTGAGCCGTATACAAGAGAACGGGCTTGGGCCCCAGGATTGTAGGTGGAGCAGAGCAACGGGGGGTTTGCCGTGAGGTGCTGAAATTTGGAAAGTGCAAAAATTTGCTTTCAGAACAGTACGAATCCGTTCTTAGAATCACAGAGCTGGAAGGGACCCCCTAGATCATCCAGTCCAGCCCCTGTCAAGGAAGCACAGTGAGTGATTCAAACTCCCAACCTCTGGCTTCGCATTGAGTTCTCCAGCAGTTGTACCTTCCTTGGCTCTTATCTGCCCTTCAGGAAGGGTGTTCTGTACATGCTCAAGGAAATTTCCTCCCGTCCCATGCCCAACCCAAGGGAAGAACCTGAGTCATCCAGAAGCACCTTTTTCTCAGTAGGAATGCTATATAACAATCTCCTCCCGGTGTGTAGCCCTCATTGTCCTCTTTCTGGGTGTTGCACATTTTCTGTTGGTGATGACAAGGGTGTGTTTTCCTTCTGCCGTGGTTCCTCAAAAATGCTTGTTCTGCAGAAGAGGGCTGTGTTGTCCCTTAATCCCATTTCTGTCTGGAAATAGAGAGAAATGTCTCTAAGAGAGCCCTCCTTCCTGGTGCAGGTTGAACTGCCCCAGCTTGTTCTGCTGGATCCTTCAGAGGTAGGATAAACGAGGCAGAAAAATCAGGGAAAAACAAACCTTTAAGCAGAAATCCTGCCAGTTGATATTTTGGGGGTGGTGGCAGAGGGGGACTTATGGGTTCTTGTGACCAGATTTTTTTAAAAAATGTGTATGAAGGCTAGACATGGGGGCTAATTGCTGGATTCCACCCCATCATTAAGCAGGAGTCTGTTGGGGCGAGAATAGACCTTGCAGGTTTATAAAAGCAGACCTCTTCCCCGAACTATGGAGGATTCAGCAGTCTATCGATGGGTGGTCTACCAATGCCAAAGAACAAATCGTGGTGGGACGTGCTAAGGACCCCCCTCAAATCCTGAGCTGTGCCTGACCTACGTCTCTGTTTCTCTGGTTATCTCTTTCACAAACTCCCAAAGTTCCAGCTCTAATCAAATCCAGAGTTTGGGGGGAAAGGAAGCAACTATCTTTCCTGAGCTACAAAAATGGATCTGTTTGGACTACAGTTCCCATGCTGGCTGGGGGAACCTGGGATGTGTTGTTCCCCAAAATGAACCTTTCCAAACTTTAGTGCAGAACCTTGGGAAGGAACACACGGGCACCTGTTTGCAAAGCGATCAAGGCTGCAGAAGCGGGACACCATCCTGTCTTTCTCTTCTGTCTCCTTTCTCCACCGTGCGCCTGCTCTTATCTGCATTTTCCTAGTATGCTCTGAAGAGTTGTTGTAAAAGCCCATTAACGGCTATCACGCTTAGCCATCACTTCCTGCTTCCTGCTGGCTTGGAATCCATCCAGGTCAAGCGGAGATTTCTCCCTTCCCACTTCTAGACACATTTTAGCCAATATTTATTGTTTTTCTGGGCTGTCAAATCACTCTCGACCTATGGCGACCCTATGAATCAACAATCTCCAAAATGCCCTGTCCTCAACTACCCTGCTCAGCTATTTGAGATTCAAGCCTGTGCTTCGTTAGGAAACTCACAGAGAGACACTCAAATAGTATGACCTGCACTTTACAAGTTGTGTTCCTACAAGGAACCAAATCACAGTACGAGAAGCCAGCCGGCCAGGAACGCTATTTATGTCGGTTGTATGACAGTGTGAACTTTGAATTGCTTTTTGGAGTCTGAAGCTGTGTCAGTTTACACAACTACATTTGAAAATGCATTTATGTACTGACAGAAAAGAAGATTCAAAGTTTTTTTTCCTCCTAAAGCTGGTGTTGAATTCATAGTGTTGAGGCGCCCTCTGGTGGTGAAGCTTGGCATTGCCACTCACCTTCCCAAAAAACTTTTGATGGAAGGATAGGAATGGTAAGAAAGTGAAATAAATTCTGTTGGATTGTCTAAGCATTGTATTGATTGATTGATTTATTGGATGAATGGATGGATGAATGGACTGCCAGTTAGTGAATTTGCACTACTCTGAGGGTATACAAATAACTATGATAGCTAGGGGATTCTCTAAAAAGTAACTTTTCACAGCTCTGCTCACCATAGCTACGGCCTTGCAAAAGGGAAATAGCCATACTGTGGTGCTTCAAACAGAAATAAGCGTTTCTTTTTAGTGGTAGAAAGCAACAATGACTTAAAATGGCTCCTGAGGAAGGTTAAAGAAGAAAGAACAAAAGCCAAATTACAGTTGAATTTTAAGAAGACAAAAAAAAAATACTGTGGAAGAATCATGTCACTTGGCAGTGAAGAAATGGAAATAATTTATATTCAGAATGGGAAAGTTAAAAAATAATTTGGGAGGTAAAAAATAACATGGGAAGATTCCACCCCCATTTTAGTTCAATCTTCAGTTGAAATGGAGCCAGCAGCCAAGAAATCAGAAGATAAAAACATAAAAGTACAACTATAAAAATAAATTAGAAAAAGTCATTGGGAGGTTTAACCAGAAAGGCTAATACATGGGAACTCGATCAACTCAACTCTCTTTAGAAGAAGAAAAAAAGGATGCTACGAAACTCAGAGCACATCACAAGAAGACAAAAGTAAAAAAAAAGCCAGGCAAAGTTGAAGGCAGGAGGAAGAGAGGAAAACCAAAGGTAAGATGGATTAGCTCAGTCAACAAACCCATGGCTTTGAGCTTACAAGATCTAAGCAGATCTGTTAAAGACAGGACGTTTTGAAGGTAATTCATAGGATCATTAAAACTTGCAAGGAATTGCGGCTGGTTGGAGACCCAACAATGACAAGACTGATTTGAGAACATGTTGATTTTATTGAGAAAAATACAAAAGAAGACAAAGATGATGGTTGCAGGATATGCTTTGCCGTTTGTTGTAGTCTTACGTGAATGCTACGTTTGGGAATGTTTGTGTTGATGTTGGTCTGAGACGAGGCATGATCACGGCCTTTGAGGGTTGCCACCGGTGGAGGCCTTCAACACGTGTTCGTGGCAAGCTTGGGCGAGGCCCCCAATCAGGTTCAAGAACTCGCCGAAGTCCAGCAAGCCGTCGGAGTTTATGTCCAGTTTCTTCATCATGCGGTCTACGACACCTGGGTCTTTCTGGTTCTGAAAGGTGGGGATAAAAGTAAGAGAATCACATGTGTATACCTTTACCTGTTGCTCAGATCTCACAATGGAGCAGGAGGATCAGGACCCGAAAGATTCCCTATCATTATGATTACCACTCTTTCCTTCAATCAGCACAAGCTGTCCTCCACAAATAGTAACTTTTCCAGCTTCCAAAACACTTGACTAAAAATAGGTATCATGTTCAATAAATGTCTTAGGATCCATTTCATGGCACATTTGATTAAACCTCTAAATTAATGTGTAATTTATTGAGATGAAAATGGAATTACTGTATTTTTCAGTGTATAAGACGCCCCCCCACTTTTCTAATCCAAAATTAAGAAATCTAAGTGGGGCTTAGCAAAGGTGGGGGTAAAGGGATCAAAGTGCTGCAGGATTGCTTTGATCCCTACTTCCCCTCCACTTGTTCTTGTTCTTGCCTCAGCTTACTTCCCTGTATAAGATGACCCTCAATTTTAGTCTAAAGATTTTAGACAAAAGTATAGTCTTATACGCAGAAAAATAGGGTAATTTTTTTAAAAACTAAAAACTCCCATAAAAAAAACTAAATATAGTCCCGGTGAAATTTCCAAGTGTATTGTTGAGTATTTGTTATGCTAAATGAAATGTAACTATTAATGAGTCATTAAGAATTTAAGAATGCAACAATTATTTTGTTTGAGAAAAAGAATTTGTTAAAAGTGCCATGGGATGTTTTGCTGGAATCTACTAATTTGTTAAAAGGGAAACCAAAGGTCATATATTACCTTTAAGACTAACTTGTAAGACTAACTGAGCTGGAGGGCGCGACTTGAATGACTTGGTCTAGGCAGATATTTCAGGATGCAACTTGTTATCTTACCACAAGGGGGAAGTACCTTCACATGGATTTGTGAAGACTCCTAGGGCGAGTCTGTACAGTTCCAGGTGACCTCTTGGCTTATTCTAATTTTCACAGTGAAAATCGTACCTTTGTGAACGATGCCAATTCTGTGTTCATGAAGGTCAAGAATTCCTTCTTGGAGAGGGTATTGGCTTGCCCGTCACGGGAGGCATAGCGCTGGAAAACGGCCAGGAGCGACTCTATACACCGTTCTGTCTCCGTAGGGCCGACGGGGAACCTCGATGACTGCAGAGGGCGGGAGGGGCAAAAACAGGGCAGGTTCAAATTAGTTTCTGTCTCTTTTCCCCCAAAAGTCATCCTTGCTAGGATTATGATGATTGCAATCAGGCAAACCACCTGCTCTTTGATCCCATAAGGGCTGATGGAACAACAGGAAAGTGTGTATTTGAGTGTACATTTGTAACCTGCCTTCTTCCAAACAAGCTCCGAGGAAGTCACAGAAAATTTGGCCCTTTCCTCAGACCAACCCTGCAAAGTAGACTAGAACGGAAGCCAGTGAAAGCCCAAGTTGACCCTAGTAGAGCTTCAGGGCTCAGTCAAGAAGTTTCTTTAAAAAAAAAGCACTTTTATACATCGTGATTGTCTTGCTCGATTGTTTTTTCCTGCTCCTTTAAATCAACATTTTATATATTTGTAAGGTTTTCTACACCAGCCAGAAAACACATCCTTTAACGGCCTGAAAGAGCAACGGCGATGAGAAAAGTGGGATGGATATGTGGAGCATCCTTTTATAGATTCCCTTTAACTAGAGCCAGCAAAGGTAAAGAGTAAGGCATGATGGGAATCGTAGTCAACCTAGAAAGCACAAGATTGAGGACAAGCTAGTTTTGAAGAACTGTCGGTCACCTCATGGCACCCTCTGGTGGAGAAAAGCTGCTTTGCAAGCAGAGGGAGGAAAAGAGGCCCCTGAGGGGAGAGGTGGGTGGAGGTCCCGCCTGATGAATCATTCTCAGAAGGCTTCCCGGCATGGGCTTGCCAAGAGGAACCGTGTGAAAGAGGATCCTCGGTCTCAGCAAACAGGCATGATCTCATGAGTGGGAGGAGGGGGATTTCTGGGTGTGTCTCCTTTCCGGACCACAAGCATCTCCCTTGTCTTTTGAGTTTCCACCTCCCAATTCTGCAACTGGGATAGGAGTGGTGGAAGATTTAGGAGAGATAAAAGAAGATTTAATGCAGCACACAATGGAACGGTGGAACTCACAGCCACAAGATGGAGAGACAGCTCCTGATTTAGAGGGCTTTAGCGGGGAAAGGATGAGATCCATCAACAGCTAGTCGTTTGGAGGGTTACGTGTCACTGCCTGGAGGCAATATATTTTTTTTAAATCCTAGTTTCTGTGAAAGAGAAGTTGGAGGGTGCTGTTTGCCTCTGGTCCTGGCTTTTGGGCTTCTTGTTGGGTGAACGGGCCGGCCCCTGTGAAGCAAGAAGGCTGGGATAGGAAACCTCTGCTCGCGTCCGGAAGATCTCATCGTTAACACATTACAGCGGACATGCGTTGCTGCAGTCTGATAGCTTTGCAGACAAGACGCGAGAGAAATGTTTCTGAGTTTTACTTTCAGAGGCAGGTGGGGTGGGACTACAAGGGGGGCCTTGGAGGCCATTTCAAAAGTTTGCTAGCCACAGAGACCCCAGGCCAAGTGGATTGCTAGGATCATCCCACAGAGGAAGAAACTGTGTGCATTACAATCCAACCCAGATTAAACAGCTCAGAGTAAGGCAAGATGCAAACAGGGTAGACTGTGCTGGCTTAAGGGAGCTCCACCGTCCCTTTGCACCCTCAAATGCCCTCTGTGACTGGGGAAGGTAAGCATTTTCAGGGCTATTCCATAATGTTTTGCTGCCAGAGAGTACCGGAGTCAAGAAGAAAGAACAGCTAGCAGATTTTGCTGTACAAAAAAAGAGTTTCCTTGTGCAAAAAACCCCCAATTTCCCTCCCTCCTTTTGTGCCTAAAAGAAAAGTCCCACTTCTGCAAACTTTTGTTTTTGAAAAAAAGAGAGTGAAAAACGCAACAACTGAACAAACTTTCCCAGTGAAGGGAAAAAGTTTTACATTCTTCATGCCCCCTTGCAGGAACAAAATAAAGAAATATTGACATTTCTGTGACAGAGATAACAGCCGTGGCTGGGTGGGAGGGAGAAAAGCCAGGGAAAATAGCACGGTTGAGAAAGAGTTGAACTTCCCCTTTGACCAAATTCCATTGGTCTTGCAGCTGTTTTATCCCTTTAAGATGCCTAGGAGCTATTTTGCAATAAAGGGAACATATCTGGTACAAGCCTGTGAAAGTCTACACCCCTTGCCTCCATTATCCAAGTTCTGGATAGATTTTTAAGCTTCTGGCTGAGTGACAAGAGGAACATAAATTTTGTACATGCCCAGAGACAGTGAAGCAACTGTCCTATTATCTGGAGTCTGAGATTCAGAATGCCACACTTTTCCTTGCCCGAAGAAGCCTTTTCAGCTGAGAGGTTTCAGATGGTTCAGAAATAAAAAGCAGAGGAATCCGGCCGGTTTGAGCAGTTGGCAACCCTCCAAGGAGAGGCACAGACAAGAACAGACAGAGAACGAGTTACACCATGGTGGAAATATGTGCAGGGAGGAAGTCCACCCTCAAAAGAAGGAACTCAGATCACTCCGAACTGTTTTCTAATCCCTCCCCCCCGGGAGCTTTTCATAACTAAAGTCCGTTGTGCTTTTAAAACTGCCCGTAAAGTAGCATTAGCTGCGTCTTCCTTTTCCCTTTTCGGAGCTTGTGAAATCTAATATTCTGGTAGCCGAACATGGGTGGGTCTTCAGCGGCAACAGTGCAAAATAACACCCTAGCTGGTGCCAAAGATCAGGTTGCGAGCTTAAAGGCACAGGAGCAAAAGCCAATTAAAACATTGGCAGTGGGTGGGTCTTCAGCAGCAGCAGTGCATAATAACAGTCACCCTAGCTGGCGCCAACGATCAGGTTGTGGGCTTAAAGGCGCAGGAGCAAAAGCCAATTAAAACATTGGCAACCCACGCCATATCAAAGTCGATGCACACTTTGAATATGTGGGTGTGTGCTTAGAATGTCAGCCTACAGCTGGTTAACTGTCTTGGGGGAAAATTCAATGGGCAAAACCTTTCACAAGAGGGGAATGCGGCAATAGGCCACCTACCTGTTGGATATCTGTCTATTACAGCTCTGCCTGGAGCTTTTATCCTCCTCAGGCGAATGCCTTAATCAACAGTGTGGCAGGAAGAAATTCAACAGATACTCCATTTCCCCTCCACTGTGTTCCCTATAGCCAAGGTGGGCTTTACCAGGTAAACTCCCGTTGAGATAGTTATCCGGTTGCCTATTGGCAGTGTCTTCTTAGCCCAGGAAAGGCTGCAGTGACTATCAAGTGACCCCATGTTCTCTCATGCATAGTATGAGCAAACTGGCACGCTATGCGCACGAGATGAGCCTGAGCATGGTTCATGGGGCCACACCCTTTGGGAACCTAAATTCACCAGCCAACGTAGCATAGCTAAGGGGCCAGGTGAGTTTCAGAGAGGTGTGATTTTTTTTAAAGCCAACGTTCCCAAGTTTTATCCTTCCCACGCTGAACAAAGCAAAGTTAACGTCATCCTCGGCTGCCTGGTTGCCATGTTTTCCTTTAGGAAAAGCGCCTTTCCAAATGCTATGGGGCAAGGCAGAGGCCTACCATGGGGTGGCCCCCATGGCATCTTGGCTTTTAAGTATCTTCTATCCCCTTCCACGCTCCTCCCTTTCGCTCTGCACGTTATAAACTGGGTACACACAACAGCGCTGAGTCCATTCAGAGTCTTAGGTTCCCGTCGTAATGGTTGGAAAAGACCTCAGAGAGGGGGCTGACATATTTACAAGGAAGAAGGAGTGTGAACTTTCCGGGCTAGCTAAAGAATCACTGACACAAAAGGAAAGAGGGATGAGGAGGGCAAAGAAAAACTGCACAACTCAAGCATAGGGGTCTTTAGGTAAACAAGTAAGGAAGGAAACTCTGGGTCTTCTTCCTCCTGCGTCCTTCAGCCTTTCCACCCCACCTCCGAAAGTTCTTAAACACCCCATCCCTTCTTTCCCGAGAAGATGATTTCAACGTTGGCAGGCCTTCCTTGGGTTTCCTGCCAAAATCCGCTCCCGTTCTCCGCTTGTTTCCACCAACCGGGAGGCCATGGTTCTGTTTTCACGAACGAATGCTCAGAGGAAAGAAGAGAAGGAACCCCCCCTACACACCAACCCCAAACTATTTCCTACCCTGTGTGTCATTCAGGCACCCGTACCAAGGGCGAGGCATCCAACTTACCATGGCTGCGGCCAGAGGAGAGAGACCTGATGTGGATCAGAGGGCTGGCGCGCTGGCTAGTTGTCTGTCTTGGAATGATGGGTTTTTGGTGAACGAGGGGAGGTGCTCAGCCTTCCCCTCCCCAGCCCACGCCCAACTCTCTCTTCATGGAGGCAGCCTCTCTCTCTCTCTCTCTCTCTCTCTCTCTCTCAGTTTAGCAATTTTGCTTAGTAACCACAAACCTAGACATGCCTCTTTGGAGACAATGATTGGGGCCCCACCTTACTTATTGCTCAGGAATGTCTCCGCAGGCTGGTGGGAGCTGTTCTTTTTCCTATTATCTTTTTATTCGGCCTGGTCCCTTATCTTTTCCTGAGGTCTCCCTTTTGCACATTTTTTTTGCAGTTTCCTGTCTTAGCCACAGAACTTGGCCAAGTTATTTTTCCTGAACTGAGAGAGAAAAAGAGAGAGAGAGAGAGAGAGAATTTCCAAACCTTGTCTGATGAAGTGTGCCACAATACTTCGTTCACAATCCACTGGGGTCCTGGGCTCTTAAAGCGGCCGAATGGCAGGCAGAGATTCATCAGGTCAAGATCGGCCAAGCTTTGTCATCTTGGAGATACATAGTCCTTGGGGGTGTTCTGTGAGGCCAAGTTGATGGTCTCCAGGCTCATTTCCCTCTGCCCAGGCTTGTCCGATGGCACAACTTCTTCGTGGAACAGTGTGGGAGATTCTAGGCTTCCGAACACAGGGGCCTCCTTCCTCTTTGTTACATGGATTTTCCCGCTCTCCATATCACGCAAATGACAGTGGAGTTGTAGCAGAAGCTTCACCATTTCCAAACTTCTCTGGCAGAGTGTAAATCTTAAGAACAGGGCGCTTTGCCCGACAGCCAGTGCTTTTTCAAACACATATGAACAAGCCGATGCCAAACCATCATGTTGCGAAAAGTAAATCCTGCCAAAGAGCTCTTTCAAAAAGCACATTTTCAAAGTGATTGGAAAAGATGACTTGTTACAACTTTAAAGTATCTCTGTTGCTGCTTGTGATGATTTTGCTGTGATTTCGTAACAACCTCTTATGCCAGGAACCAATACATTAACCAAGCTCCAATGCCCAAAACTGAACCATAAATGCATCAACGTCTTGCACATGAACAGCTGGATAGCTCATGGGTTTAGGTCTCTGGCTGTGGGGCCAGGGGTTGGGAGTTCGAATCCCCCCATTGGGCCTCCTTGGCAGGGCCTGGACTGGATGATCCAGAGGGCCCCTTCCAGCTCTGCTGTTCTAAGATTATTCTGAAATTCTATTCTAAGATCTTTCTCCTAAAGATATTACCATATTTTTCAGTGTATAAGACTATACTTTTGTCTAAAATCTTTAGACTAAAAATTGAGGGTTGTCTTATACACGGAAGTAGGCTGAGGAGAGAACAAAGACAAGTGGAGGGGAAGGCAGGGATCAAAGCGATCCTAAAACACTTTGATCCCTTTTCCCCTACACTTGCTAAGCCCCACTTAGATTTCTTAATTTTGGATTAGAAAAGTGGGGGGGGGCGTCTTATACACGAAAAATAGGTAATTTAGTGTCCTCCAAAAGTTGAATTTGGGAGAAAAACATTTTCTGGAGCAGGGATGATAAACATTTTCTGTTTATAGAGCCTTGTTTCCAGAGATTGTCTTCAGAACCATATCACCACACCGGCTTTCCCTATCTTTTCCATCACCAGTTTCCTCAGCTGATCGGCTTGCAATATTATTTGTGTTGTGAAGGAGGTAAAATGTTGCAGCAACGTGAGGCTCTTTGGCAACGCTTTCCGTTACAAATATTCAGCATGAGTTCCAGAAGCCTCTCGAGACCTAGAAAGTAGGGGAGGAGAAAGACTTTGGGTCGTTGACTAAGCTACAAACAAGTTACTCGCAGGGTAAATTCTTCCGGCAAGACTTTAGGGTGAGACCCTGTGGCATATTTCTACTGGATCCTGCTGTTTCCTGCAAAATTGGGGACCCCCTTGCTTTCCTGCCAAATGCCTTAAAATCTTGCCCTCTAAGGGTGGGAAACCGCTGGCTTTGAATACGATCAATACATCCTTAAAAGTGAAGTGCCATAAAGATGTACAAAGCATTTCTTTAACAATAATCTTCGCATGTGGTTTCCTGTCAGTTTCACAAGTGGCACGTTGGATTGTGCCTGCTTTCTGATTGGTCTGTGGGGGGTAAACAGGGACTTCCTTTGGAAATCCTGTCACTCAGGTGCAGCAGCTTTGAAAGAAACCCTCTCTGGAGAAGGAAAATGTTTTATCCCTAATTGTGAAGTCGGAGTCTTGTCTGATTTTACTATTGGCCATAACTTATCGCTGGGTTTTAAACTGAAAGGGGCTGTGGCTTTCCTCATGACTGATTGTTGTAATCCTTGAAAAATGTTCTTATTTCGTACTTGAATTGTATCACAGTTCACTGCCTGGACCCGTATCCCTTTTTTTTGTGGTGGAAGCTGCTCAAACCACAAAGCGTAACTGCTGCGAACACACCTTGTGTAACTTTCACTCTGCTGAGCTTGTTCCACCGGCAAACGTCTCTCTTTGTGTGTATGTGTTTGTGTGTGAGACCTGGGGATGTTCCCATGGCAACATTGTCCTAGAATGGGGACTAACATTGCCACATATCCTGGAGACGGCCATCAACAAGACTCTTAGAAAGAAATTCCTCTACATCCAGTCCTTGTGTGGGGGAGTGGAGAGGAAGTTATATTCAGGAGAACTGGGTTCAAATCCATGTTCAGCCCTGGAATCTCACTGCGGGATGAGATTGTGTCTCTCTCTTCTATCTTGGGATCCCCGTTAGAGCCATTGAAAATCAGATGCAATTTGAAGTGAGAAGCCAAAATCATGATTGGAGAGATGTTAGTCACAGATCTGGTTCCTCTCAGTGTACTGAAAAACAACAGTGCACCTGGATACCTGGACGATAGCCAGAGGATTGCAGAAGACGCAGGGCGTGTCTGGAAACTTGGAGGAGGTAGTCATGCATCCTGCAGCCAAGACCCACAAGTGAATCACAGGAACCACAGATGGTGGGGTGGGAAAAATACAGAATACATTGTAACACCAGGGAGAATAAGGTACCCCTAGAAGTGTGTGGAAAGGAGGAGACCTCGCTATTGTGTTTTGGTTATTTATTTTTATCTTCTCTTCCATGCGGGCACGTTCTGACTTGCAAGTGGGGTGGAAAAAACCACAGCAGTCCCATGGAATCCCTGGACTAAAGTTTCCGTGAGTCATAGAATAGATCGTTTCCTCTGGAAACCCACCAGACATACAGTCTGATATCAGCTACTGTTATAGCTTGTTTACTCTCTGCCTCCACCTGGTGATATAATGGTATATTGCAGTTCCTGTAAATAACTGAAATTCATTTTCAATAGGTTCTCCCTGTCCCCATTCTGTGTCTTGTGTATCTTGCTTTGCTTCTCTGTTCTAGAACCACCGGAAGGGAAGAGAAGACAACACAAAATATTTGTGAGTTGTACAAGAGTGTAGAAAGAAAAAGGATGAAATGGAGAAGTCCAATGTTTAAATCTTGAGCAGTTTTATTGAGTATCGTTATGTTATAAGAAAGAGAAAGACATCTGCTAACATCGATTCAGTTGTGGTCCAGCTACCTGTTGAAGTTCTGGGTACCTCTGAAGGTTTTCGGACTGCAAGGTCTTGAAAATGGTTCTGTGTCCCTTTTGCATTTCCACGGCAGCCAAACTCAGTGTCCCTGAGGAAGAGCTAAGGATGGAGGCAAGAAATCGTGCTGAAGAGTGGCAGAGCATAGCGCTGCACTGATACAGTTCCTCTGGATCTCCATTGCAGAGAGCACAAAACACATTCATTTAAACCAGTGATTCCCAATCATGGGCCCCCAGATGTTTTTGGACTAAAACTCCCAGAAGCCTTCACTGCCAGCTATTGCTGGCCAGGATTTCTGGGAGTTAAAGTCCAAGAACATCTGAGACCCAAGGTTGGGAACCACCAAATTTTAAACCTAGGGAGCTTGTCCAAGAAGTGGCTGGGTAACTTTTTACAAACTTCTAAAATGTCACACCTTTTGTATGATGGATTGTTGTTCAAGTGGAGTAACTCAATAGGTTCCTGACCAGAGCCTCTCAACCTACTACTGAGGGGAGGAATAATGGGTTAAATCCAATTTTAATCCTTACAAGAGTAGACCCATTGAAATGAATGGGACTTGTGAGGCACTGCTTATGGAAGCCCCACAGATTGCAACAGACCTAAGTGAGATGAATTGATTTTTTAGCCCATTGTATCCAAAGAGGTCTGTCACTGAATTCAAGAACTGTTAGCAGAGGCATCATAGACTTCTTCGTTTGTTTCGTTGGTTGCATGAACTTTAATCGGTTAAATGAGTAGATGACTTGACTAAATGTTCATATGGCTTCAAAGGGCAAAGAGAAGGATAGTTTTAAAGCAAAAAGAATAATATGCTTTCTTGATTTCAAGTGTACAGGTCTATGGGATTGCTGGTTTTGTAGGATGTGGATGAACTACAGCTCCCATCATGCATGACCATGATACAGGTGGCAGCTGAAGTCCAACTAAAGCCACAGATAGCACACATCTGGTCCTTAGTTTGGATATACCTTTATTTGTCTGGGTATATTGGAAACTGGGCTTCCTTAGGCTGTAGTTATAGGCACACCTTGGGAATAAGTGTGGTGAATTTCATTGGACTTATTCCCGAGTAAGCATGCCTAAATTTGCACAAAAGATGGAAATGCAAGCATTCCTACCCAAGGCTTGTGATGAATGACTATATTTCCCAACAGAGTTTAGAAAATGTGGGTTTTTGGAGTACAAATCCCCAAATCCCCCTGAGCCAGCATGGCTATGTTGAATGGGAGATTATGGGAATTGTAATCCAAGAAGTCCCTTTTCCAAGCTCTGCTGCCAGACCAGTCTTCTCACCTCCAGACTCTTACCACATTTCATAGAGCAAAGAGCTGATTGAAGAGCTGATCACGGAAATGGGTTAGAGGGGTACCAAGAAGACTCAGAAATATCTTAAAGGAATATCTGCCATCTGGGTTTACATGGGGGAAATGATTCTAGAGAAGACGGGGTTAGCCCATGCTGTCCCTCCACCCCAGTGGGAAAAATCTCAGGTCTAAAGGACTGATACAGAGCTGAT